ACTGTTTGTCAATTTGGTCTTGCCAATATAATAGACCCCTTGAAGGATTTGGTCCGGAATTTCTGAGTACTGCAAGATCTTATAAAGTTAAAAGAAATGTTTGATATAGGATACCTGTAATACTTCAGGGAGCTTTGGTGGTGTAGTGGCTAAGGCATTTGACTGCTAACCAGAAGACTGGTGGTTCAAACCCACCAGCCACTCCTCAGAAGGGAGGTTGGGCAATCTACTTCCATAGTGGTACGGCCTCGGAAGCCCGTGGAGCGGTCATTTTGAGTTGGATGCGACTTGACGGCAGTGAATTTGAGTTACAATGCTTGAAATGAGAGTTAGGTCGTGTTTCAAAAATGAACCAATTTCTGACTTGTATCTGAGGATGTTGTATCTAGAAATAATTTTAAATGATCAGTAATAATTTTTCTTTTACATACATAGCATGTTTGTAAATAAAGTGAAAGGAGGAGGGGAAATTCACACTTTTATCAGCAATTTAAAACCTACTATTAACACATTTTTAGCAGGTTATAGTTGTGATATGTTATGCCTGTTTTTAAGCTTAAAGGTTTTTTTTTTTTTTTTTTTTAAATAGTGTGACTTGAGTGAAAGTTTACAGAGCAAATTTGTTTTCCATACAGCAGTTGGTATGCATTTTGTTTCATGACGTTGACCGCAGTTCCCCGTAGTGTAACAACTCTCTTTCTACGTGTAGTTAGCTCTTCCCTATGTTATTCTTTCCTATGCTTTCCTGCCCCCCCGCCCCAGCTGTCTCCCTATCCAAACACTGCCCTTCTATTCTCCCACAATTGATAGCTCTAAAGAGTATACCTACCTGATATAAATGTTCACCTAATAGGCCTATCTGTTGTTTGGCTGGGAAGCCACAGGAATGAGTTCAGTTCCAAACCTGAAGGGTAGCTAGAGGCCATAGTCACGGTGCCTCACCAGGCTCTATAAGACGGGTAAACTTGTTCTTTTTTTTTTTTTTTTTCTTTAAGTGATTTTTGAGTTTTATTCAGCGTTTTTCTCCCACTATATTCATGACCTCTTGCACTGATTCCTTTCCAACTAGTTGACAGTGGTAGCCAGGCACCATCTAGTTCTTCTTGTCTCATGGGTCCTATATAGACTGAGGATCGCAAGGTCTGCTGGTCCTTTGGATTGATTGTTTCCATGTACCTTTTGGTGTTCCTCATTCTTTGCTCCAGACCAGGAGAGATCCATTGTTGCATGTCGATGCCACTTGCAAGCTTTTAAGACCCTAGTCACTACTTAGCAAAGTAGGATGTAAAGCAGTGTTTTTCTGTAGTATGTTATGTTAATTGATTAAGCTTAAACTTTTTAATGAACATTTTTAAAAAATGTCATTTAATATGCTCTGTATTTACTGATTAACTGGCCTTCTGTTGGACAATTAAATTTATTTTTCAATTTTCACTATAAATAATGCTTTGAACTCTTAATGTTGTAAGTTATTTTCATATTTGGGATAAATTGAATTTCCTTGAAGTAGAATTGCTGGGTTAAGGATGGGAGTTTTTATTTATTTATTTTTAAATTGTTTTTATTTTTGTGGTTGAAGGTTTTTAAAATTCTTGATACATACTGCAAAATTGCTTTCTAAAAGGGCAAAAATCAATTAACTGCATGTGATACAAAGTTTTATATAAAACTTGTCTAACTCACAGTGGCAACTTTTAAATGTGTCACATCATAAGTATGATAATTTTCTTTTTTAACAAATGTGTCATTTTTCTAATGAGTATGTTTCTTAGCAAGGGTCTCTGGTGGCACAATGCCTAAGGCATTTGACCGCTAACCAGAAGGTTGGTGGTTCAAACGTACCAGCCACTCTGCGGAAGGTAGACTGGGCAGTCTACTTCCGCAAAGATTTACTGCTTTGGAAATCCATTGGGGTCGCTATGAGTTGTGATTGACTCCATGGCTGCGGGTATGTTTCTTAGCGTCAGTTATGCCTGTTATAAATACAATTTTGGCTTTTCAGGATAACTTTTGTGATATTTAATATTGGAGAGCATGTGAGTTAAATTTCAGTAAGTACCTGAATTTTCCAAAGTTCATATTTAGGCTACAAAGTGTCAATGGAGAAATAAGCAAGATAAAAGAGGATTGTTTCAGTAGAAGGAAATTTAACTGAAAAGCCACTGGACTTACTCTCCCAACATACTTTTAACCTAGCTGTTGAACTAGTACTTTATCTTGAAGTTGTTTCTGTAAGTATAGAAGTCTTTGTCTTTACTTAGTTTAGAGTATAACAGTTATATGAAAATCATTTGTTGAGTAGTGGTATCACATACTACTAGGTTAAGATATTTGTGAACAAATTTTAAGGATTTAGTTGCCCTGTGAACCAAAAGAAACTAACTAGATGCTATGTCTTAATAGCAGTGGTAAAAAGAGGTTGCAGAAGTATACAAACACTAAGTAAGATTCAATATAAATAAAGTTTTAGAATTTGCAGTTTCGTGGATTCATCTTTTGGTTGGTAGGTAGTAAATGTATAAGGCTCGGCATAAAGATGTTAAAATACCAAATTCCTTTTAATCATTACTTGTTAGGGGAGAATGAGATTTATTTCATGGTAAGTTGTAACTATTCGTAATGTTTACATTTCTTAACCTGATGGTAGATAAGAATTAATTATCGTCTACTACCATTTTGTGGGTCCGATATAAAGAGAACTTTTAAACCACTGTCAATTGATGTGTGGCACTGTTTGCAGGCCATGGTGTAATACGTTTAAAAGTTACTTAAATGGAATGCTTGGATTTTTTTGAATTTGAGGAAATCTTCATAAAAGGTTATGATTTAACTTAATTTTCCTGTTCTTATTTTAAAACATTGTTATAATGGGCCAGTAAGACCTATTTACAAAGTAGCTTATAAAGGGTAGTGTTGACTGTGGAGTGTGGGACTAAATAGGTATAAAATTTTGGGGTTAACTTCTTGTTAACAGTAAGTTTTCCTGTAACTCTGTAACAAACAAAATGCTCCATGCTCTGAATGTAGTAATAGCAGGTTTAGGCCTCTGCAATTAGGTTTTCATATGTTATTGATTCATATCCCTTCTTCCTTTCTGTACTGTTTTCTATCTCTTTTCAAGCTGGATAATAACCAAGTTTTCCTGATGTTTCCTTTTTCAGGCTTTATTTTCCTTGATGGTAGCATAGCGTTAAAAAACAAAAACCAAACAATTAAAAACCACTGCCATAGAGTTAATTCTCACTCAGAATGATCTTTTTTTGGGACAAGATAGAACTGCCCTGTCCTATAGGGTTTCTTAGGCTGTAAATCTTTAAGGAAGCAGACTGCCTTAGCTTCCGCCTGCAGAGAAATTGGTGGGTTCGAACCGCCAAGCTTCTTGTTACTAGCTGAATGCTTTAACCAGTACACCACCAGAGCTCCCTATGGTATAGCTAAATATCCAATTTCTGTTCAAAAGAGCTCTCTTTAAAAGGCCACATTCTTGATACTTCTTTTTTGACTCTGGGCTTTCCTTAAACTTGCATCTTACTTTGCTCTTAATTCATCATCATTCTAGATACAGATGGATAACGAATGCTTTTAAAACCACTTAATGGTTTTAACTTTTGTTTTTGTAGATCATTTCTAGAAGACTACCTCCTTGCTTGCCCCTGACTTGAGTCTTCTGCTTTGTTCTTGATAACCTTTCCAGTCACTGACAGAAGTGCTTAAGCACTTCAGGTACTAACTACCTCGTATGTCACTTGTATTTATAAACTTAAGTCATTTCATGAATCTCAATTTGTGCTTGGGTTTCAGTACTCACTGTATGTTAACCTCTTGTATTTATTCCATCATTTTCTTGATTTTTCAAATGTTATTCACTCCCTGCTCTAGATACTCTTTTGCTCTGTGCCTTACTAATTCTGGTTTTTTTGGTGTCACAGGTTGTTTTCCCTTTGCTCTGCATTAATTTATATTTTACTCATCCTCAAGATTTCACATTTCTTTTTCTCATAAATCTTCCATTTGCTTAATTACATAGAACCTAAATCAAACCAAACTCACTGCCATTGAGACGATTGCAACTCACAACAGCCCCTTGCTTGGGTTTCTGAGGTGGTGTTTACACAAAAGTAGATTGGCCAATCTTCCTTCCAAGGAGTGGCTGACATAGAATCATGGTAGATAAATAATGGTTTATATAATACGTTTTCAGCTAGTACTTGTAGATTTAGAACAACAAAAAAGAAAAACTAAACTTTCCTCACTAATCCTATTTTTATTTTCAGGAGCATTTTGGCATCCCCAGTAGAATTATGGTGCTTACTTTTGTGTCAGCTTTCTGTGAAAATAACAAGCACAATATTATGTCTACCAGTTTTAACATTTGTCAGATTTGACTTCAACTAAAACTTTAAAAAGTTCTCTTTGAGACAACAAACTTACAGAAACGTGAAAGGAACCTGCAGAATCTTTGACACAGATCTCATCCGTTGTTTACTTTTGCCCCATTTGCTACACTATTCTCCATTTTTATATATGTATGCTTGTTAGAGTAATTCATTTTTATGCCTTATTTCTGAGTTACTTTGAAGAAGGCAATGCATACTCAGTGAAATAAGACAATCTGAGTGCCAACCACTTTAACCTTTCCCACAATCGCAGCAGGAACAGTGTTTAACATGGTGGTAGATAAATGATCATATTAAAATACCTCTCTTTCCGTGAATTTGAAATGTACTTTAATCTCAACTTTTATATTTCTGTATACGTTGTCTTAATACACTGGTTGCATATTCTATAACATGTTCTAGTTTTTACTATGTTTAAACTCGTAAGTAGAGTTGTTTGGGGAGGTGGGCTTTGTATATATTTACTTAAATTAACTTGTTTTAAAGGTTTTTGTTCCTAATAGAATAGTGTAAGGCCATTAACCCATTTTTCGTTTTATCAGATCTCCGATGAAAAACATAAACTTAAAGGATTTTACAATATACACTTATGCTTGTTTTCAGAAGACCCATTTGAGGACTTTTTTGGGAGTCGCAGAGGCCCTCGTGGAAGCCGAAGCCGAGGCCCGGGATCCTTTTTTTCTTCCTTCAGTGGGTTTCCCCCTTTTGGAGGTGGTTTTCCTTCTTTTGACACAGGTACTGAAGCTGCAACTTAACCTATACCTGAACAAAAGTTAGTTCTTTCAAATGGTCCTTTTAGTTAGAGAAGATTCAAAGTGTGTTTATTCCTTGTGTGATAGATTTGGTAACATTTTTTGTGTGTTACAAATATGTGCTTAATAAACTATATTTCTTTCTAATCTTCCAAAGAATTTTACACTTGAAAACCCACTTCTAAAGTTACTCGCTAAAGATCAAAATTCAATGAATTCTTTTGTTAAAAGCAGTAATGTGTTTTTGGGATAAATAAATGCAAAAAGCCCAGTTAGATAACTTCAGTAAACCTACCTTTGTGGTTAAACAAACAAAAAAAAAACCCAGACACAGTGTAGTAGGAGAACATAACATGAAGGAAAGAGATTGGGCTTTAATCTTGGCTGCATGATTTAAGGATTTGACCAAGCCCACCTCTGTGTACTGATTTTCCCTACTAGTAATGTTCAGTTATTTATAATTGCCCTGCTGCGTGCGCATGTGCGCGCGCACACACACACACACACACACAGTTGTTAATGGTTAATGGTTAATTTATGTAAAGGCTGTTTATTAAATTAGAGTAACATTCATATATGTGATGATATCGTTGTTTTACTTAATGAATTAGAATCTTGGCCTGCTACCTTTTTTGGTGGAATGTAATCTAGTTCCCTCTTTACTGGAGGAGTTGTTTGTTCTTATTGGCTCATTTTTTATTTTTAAGTCTCTGTGGTGAAAATTAATAGTGCTTGTTATACCTGATACTCTCTTTGTAATAAATACTTAAACCTCAAATTTTATTCCCTTTCTAATAATGTATAATCACCTAATATTTAGGTAGATAGTCTGCCTATTTGGTTGGACTTTATTACAGAGAGCAATATTTGATATACTTTCCCCAACATATATTTTTTTAATTAGGTAACATGTAATATGCTAATCATAGATGAAGGGAGAGTCACTGAATTAGCTGATAATAGCATCTTGAAAATAGTGTTTTATTTGGAATTTTTAGTTAAGGAATGACTGGTTAATAAGTGGGGTGTGTAGAGTGTGTGAGGAGGAAGTGGTCTCCAGCATCAAAGAGTCTTACAGGCTATTGTGTGAGCCCAGGCTCACTCTAGACCTATACTGTTCAGTATAGTAGCCACTAGCTGCATGTGACTGCTGAGCACTTGAAATTGGCCAGTCCACATTGGAATGTGTTATATAAAATACATGCTGCATTAAATGATTTGTGCTTAACTACTAACCTAAAGGTTGGTGGTGGTTTGAACCTACCCAGCTGTGCTGTGAGTAGCAGTCTGCTTCTACAAAGATCACAGCCAAGAAAACTTTATGGAGCGGTTTCACTCTGTATTATAAGGCATCATCAGGAGTCAAAATTGACTTAGTTGGCAATGCGTTGGTTCTTTTTGTTGTTTGATAATTGCAACATAAATACTAGAGTTTGCAGATTTGAAAAATATAAAATACCTTATTATTATTATTTTTTAACGAGGTCAATAGATAATTTTAAATTACATATGTGGTTCACGTTACATTTCTTTTAGATATCACTGGTTCCAGTCATTGAATTATGTTCAGAGTGTGTGGGATATTTAAGTATTTTGGGAGTAGAACAATTACTACTCTTTTTTAACAAGCCAACCAGTCTTAAAATTCCATCTGACTCTTTTAACAAGCCAACCATTTTTAGAATTTTATCTGATTTAGATTGGTTTTAGTGAGAGATGATGGTAAGTGATGACTGATGCACATTTTTACCCTTTGTGGTCACAATGCAAGAAGGTAAGCAGAAGTTAGATTTGGCATCACGAGGAGGGCGAAGATAATGTTTTTGAAAGATAAAGACATATATTGCTATCTTGCTTCCTCTGTAATGCATGGTTCCAAGTAGATTATACATAAATAGGGCAGATGTTTTGCATGTTGAAAATGCCAGCAAGTTTTGGCACTGCACTATTTAAAGGAGAAAGAGTGCATGAGAGAATATGATTCAAGAAATAGCTGGTTCTCTTTTTTCCCCCAGAGTACACATTTAATGATTCAAATGAAAGTATGTTAGTCTTTTTTTCCTTAGGGTTCTGTTGCAGTTCAGCGTTTGCCCCATTTTAGTATGGTTTTTGTTTCCCACAGATGATGTGCACATCTTTTTTTTTTTAATCAGGTGATCTAATAAATTTTGAAACTCAGTAATTTTCGCATAAAATATCTTATGTATTAGTTTCTAATCATCTTTCTTTGCTGTTTTTCTCTAGGATTTACTTCGTTTGGTTCACTGGGTCATGGAGGCCTTACTTCATTCTCTTCAACATCCTTTAGTGGTAGTGGGATGGGCAGCTTCAAATCTATATCAACTTCTACTAAAATAGTTAATGGCAGAAACATCACTACAAAGAGGTACAGTGTTATTATCTGTTTTAAATATTTTTAAATAAGTGTTAATTGATGCTACATTGACTTTTCAAATCTCCTCTTACAGTACGAGGTGCTGGTAGTATAGTAAATCTGGCATCATGAAAGACTTTGATTTAATGTCTGAAATTTAGCCAAAGCTTTTACTTTTTAACATTTGTTTAATTTATTAGGGAAATCTTCATTTAGACTCATATACTGCTCATTAACAGTATATCTGCATGTATTTAGACTTCAGTTATATAGTATTTGAGGCAAAAGTTTTATTGATGTTACAAATTTATTTTAGGAAAGAAAGATTCATTGTCCACAGGTTGGATTGTGATGTTTTTCAGCCAAAAATTAGTTATTTCTTATGTATGCGTGTGTGTGTGTACGTATACACACAATGTATGTTGTAGGTGTATCTTTTTAAAAATCAGATATATTCACACATATATTTACTTTAACAAAAAAAGGTTTTTAAATCACTTTTATCCTACAGAATTGTTGAGAATGGTCAAGAAAGAGTAGAAGTTGAAGAAGATGGCGAGTTAAAGTCATTAACAATAAATGGTAAGGAGCAGCCGCTACGCTTGGATAACAAGTAATTCAACGCACGCATTTAACAGAAATGTTAAACTATTACAAGCACCATTTGAGGATTAACAGGAACATTTTTTTGAAGATTTCAAACGAACTCTACTTTCAGTATAACTGTACCTAATCTAAAGTATTTATAAACAGCTCGTCGGAGCACCTATTTGTCATAGACTTTTGAGTTTATTGTTGGGACCACATTAATAGGACCTTTTTTTTTTTTTTTTTTTTTCCGTCTTTAAAACTGTTGTAAATTTATGTATGCACTTTGCTTTTTTTTTTTAATTTTTGAAACTGAATCCAAGGCGAACCGTGATTCTTTAATAGAGCTAGGAGAAAATTGTACACTAACACCAGCATGGATCTTGCTTTTTCCATTTTGTTTGAAATGTGAGCCAAGTAGTTTCAGTCTGCTGTGAAGTTAACATTGCCAGATGAACCTTCTACAGAAATAATTTCCTTTCTTTTTATTTTTCTTTCCAGTATTGAGTAGTGAAAGATTAATACATTAATGGTAATACATTTCTGGTTTAACATAAATTAAGGATGTTTTCTAGTTGTGCATGAATGCTGGCAACTTAGAAAGTTTTGAAAATTGTTTAAATATGTAATGTTAAAGCTTAGGTTTAAAAGTAAAGCTGGTAAACTGGGTCTTTGTCATTTGCTTTAAAAAAAAAAAAAAAAGAAAATAAATGCTAATGTGTTTTGTGCATTCTTTCACGAATGGGATTTGTAGCCTTCTTGTGTCTGTGTATGATTTTTGTGCCTAAGGTTCCAGTGTCACTTTATTAGCATTTCATTCTTTTCATCATTTTACATGTAGACATTTAATTCATTTTATTTAGAGAGTGCTTGACAATTTTCCTCTGGATATTATGGATTGACCTAGCAATTTATTCAATTTAATTATGATATCATTTTTAAGAGAGTGCGGAGAAAAAGTTTATTAAAAGTATGTCCTAGTTTATTAGGATATATTATTACTTGATGTAAGTTCATTTAAGGATACTATGCATGGTAAAGTCATGGAATGATTTAGATGTGGGCCAAAATAAAGGTATGTCTTTTCTTTTTCAGTCTGTAAAATCTATTATGATCACTATTGAGATCTAGAATTCCAACTGTAAAGAATTATTAAACTAGACTTTAATTACATTTAAATTACACCAGTCTGTTTTATTGTTTTAGAAATAAGCAGTGTGAAAAACTGCTAGAGGGTTGGGAAATTCTTTTGGTTATCCCTGACAGATTTCAGTTAACTCAGATTAATTTGAAAGGATATAGAAATTTTTGATGGTAGCATAGAACCCTTAAAGAACATGGTATATTTAAGATATTTTTGAAACTGTAAATAAGCAGAAAGTATTTTAAGAAATCTCATAGGGGCTTTAAGAAAAACTAGCAAGAACCAAAAAATGCAGTAGTGGGTATCTTAAATATATAGTACTTATGAGTAACTTATTGCAGCACTCCATGTCTTTATGTAAGGTAGATTTTCAGTCACATCATGCGTTGGAAAACAGTTAAATTTGTGTGTGTGCGTATGCATGCGTGCGTGTGTGCGTGCATGTTGTAAAATCTAGTTCCACAACCAGAATTTTAGTATTCAAAAAAACCTCATTTTGTTGATATCAGAGTTACTAAAGGAGAAATATAAGTAGATACTCCAATTATGAATTCATTCAAGTAGATACCTAATATACAAATAGTCCTGAAGTTAAGACTTAGAGCTTTATATTTTTTATTAATGGGTATGGTGAACCAGTGTTAAAACAATCTTGAGAAATCACCAAGAGAGACCAGGGAAATGGAAAGTTTTGAAGGCAAAAGAAATCTGATCTGTCCCATGATTGTTAAAGTGTACTAAGAAACAGTTTGCTATAATTATGATTTTTCAATGGTTTTTTTTGTTTGTTTGTTCTAAACATACTGGGATGTTCAGATGTTGGAATATTTAGTATAACTTTAGCTGTGACTGATTTACTCAACTTGATGTTGCTGGTATAAGATGTTTGATTCAAAGGAATCTGTTTGTAAAATTTTTTTTTTTTGAAGTATTATCATCAAATACTCATTCTGTACATTTGACAAAAATTACCTTTTTTTAATTCTACTCTTATTGATTGGAAAATTAATTTTATCACATTAATAGGGTAGAAAAAGTATTAGTAGGAGTATTAAAACTTACTCTATTAATTGAATAGGAAACTCAGTTTTTGGCTACTATGATATTAAGGAGCCTCAGTTACACCTTGGTTAAAGTGCTCAGTTGCGAAGCTGAAAGGTCATTGGTTCCAAAGGTGTAATCTTTATGGATGCAGACTGCTGCTGATCTTTCATGTGGTAGTAGCTGAGTGCTTAATCACTGTGCTTGTAGGACCTCCTTCCCTGAGACTTCAGGGGTTGCTTTATGTAATGCCAGTATTCTGATAAAGGTAGTAGTATCCAGGATTCGAAGGAAATGAGTAATGTTCTCCATTAATCATTTCAGCAATCTCTTTTGCTACTTCTTAGAAAGGGTTCCATGGCTTTTTTAAAGGGTCCCCACGGTTATGCACAGATGAACTGATAATGTAATCAAGGGCATTGAACAATATGAAGTACTATAGGAAATGGGATTGAAGGAAATACCCCTAATGTCCAGAGAACAGAATCCTTGCCTTCCCTTAGAGCAAAGGGCTGAATTGCCAGTGCATTATCTCTGCTGGTGTCTGAGATCAGTTTAGTATGCAGTGAATGAATGGCTTGGGACACAGAAGTTGCTTTTTCGTGTTGAGATACTCACTGCTGTCGAGTCAGATCTGACTCATAGAGACCCCCTCCTTGGGTTTCCGAGATGGTATCACTACAGAAGTAGATTGCCCACTTCCTTCTGATGTGTTGAGATAGGCACACATTTAAAATTGGTGCATAATCATAAATTACTTGCCATGAAGAGTAAGCTCCTATCAACTCTATGAATTAGAGTGGCCCTTTGCTCACATACTTTGTAATATTGTCTGTAAACAATTTTTAAAATGTGCATTTCTTTGGACAATTATGCTGAGCATCTTTTTTGTATGTATGTTAGCTTGTATAAGCCTATAAAAACCCATTCTACAATAATTTATTAATCCTTTATTGTTTTGATTTTTTAAGTTGATTCTTGTATCTTAATATATCTTAACTATATGGCAATCTTAATTTTTCATATAGACAGATGTTGTGTGTATATCCCCTCTGGTTTTAATGATGTGTTTCTTCCACACTTGATTATGACCTGGTATCTGTTTTCAGCATTTTACTTTCTTGTGTTTTCTCTGGTTGGTTCTTTATCAGGAATGTTTGTATGTGTTAAGTATCTGATTTTCTTTCATATTTCCTGCCATTGTTACCTACTTAATTACACATACAGTGATTGTTGGATCTTTCTATTTTGTTTTTACTTTATTTCTGTGCCGGTATCACACTATGTCAATTACAGTAGCTACTCTATCAATTATAGCAGTAAATTTAAAAGGGCAGTTTCTTTTTTAAAATATTTCTTGGTTCTTACTTTTATACTTTTGAATTAAATGTTCATTCAGTTTTAGGAACTCCTTCCCCAGTAGCTGCAAAACAATAGATTAATTTGGGATAAAACATGACATTTCAGGAACAATATGGTGCGTGGTGTCCCTTTCTTAAAATCTTTTATAGGTGGGCACATTTCTTAACAGTATTGCTAGTTGAAGCTGAGATCTTTCTATGTGTGTTTCCTTTTCTGAGTGGTTATATTGATAATCAGTAAGAAAATCATTAAGTCTTTACATTGCCTTTTACCCAGTCACAATATATTGGGTTTCTCTAATTTTTGGAGGGAGAGAAGCTATCATACACTTTTTAAAACTAGAAAATTCTATAAATACTCTCATTTTTTATCTCTTAGTTTTAAATTATTGTAAAATTTTACTTGATGATTAAATTTTAATGTTTTAATATGGTTAATTATTGATGTCAAGCACTTTGGCTTTGTTCCACAGTAGGCTAGTTTTAGTGTTGTACCATGTGATAATGCTTGTGGTTTCTTTGAAAGATTAGTTACTGTATTTAGGACAAAAATCTCTTGTTTCATAATATTCTTCAGAAATAGCTCTTAAAATTTACTCATTGACTTTGTGGGACATCAAATCGGTTTGACTTAAATTTTCCTTAGGAATTTAGATTGATCTGTTTTGGTATTTAAAGTGTTATAGTTTATTAAAGGAATCTGGTGGTATAGTGGCTGAGACACTTGACTGGTAACTGGAAAGACAGCGGTTCAAACCCACCGGCTGCTCTGCAGAAGGAAGACTGGGTCTCGGAAAACACAATAGGGGTTGCTATGAGTTGGAAACGACTAAATGGCAGTGAGTTTTGGTTTATTGGTTTTTAGTTTCTTTAAGTCATTTGTAAAGTATTTTGTGTTTTTCTGTTCCCAAGATGAGATTCAGTTGAACTATAAAGTCACTTGGGCCAGACTCATTTTTTTATAGTTCCTGATCTTTTTTTTTTTTTTTTTTTAAAATTGAAATTTTGCAGACTGTGAGGTTTAGGTCAATGTGT